AAAAGAGGCTCAAACGGGAGAGCGCGGAAAGGAGTGCAGGGGGAAGCGACGAGGATGAGGAAGTGAGGGAGAGAGCCAGTGCTGATGATGCTCCGGCAGCGCGAGACGATCGCGGCGGGAGAATCGTCTTTTCCGAGATAGCGGATGCAGAAGCGCCCCCCCCCACCCCCCCCGTCCAAGAGTCGGTCGGGGTACTGCATTAGTTGCTGTTGCCTGTCACGAGAGCGGCTTTTGAATGTCCTGATTTCATCTCGCTGACGACAGTCACTCCAAAAAGTCCGTCGCGCCGACTGTTATTTTCAAGCAATTTCACGTGCTCCAACAAATCCATGAAATCTGAAAAATAGAAACGCCTTGCTCTTTCTTCACTGACTTTTTTTTTTTTTTTCGACAGGATGATATTAGCCAAATTGGGGTTGCCGCATATTTTGACGTATCCCGTGAAATAATTTCCTCAAGGGGACGTCCTACATTTCGGATCTTTTGGAACCAGCGGCAGCAGTAGTGTTCTTCAAGCAAGCAAACGGACCGACGTTAAAAAAAAAAAGAAAAAAGACACGGGGACTCACAGGGAATGGTGCGCAGGTAGAGGTTGTCCCGGATGATCTGCTGCAGTTCGTGGTCCACCGAGCCTTTCTGGAAGCGCAGGTTGAGGTAGCGGCACAGGTCCTTGTCGATCGCGCCCCCTGGATGGACAACGGAGACGCGCTCGCGTGAGATCAAGCGAGGGCCGCAAAATGGATTTTTTCCAAACCGAGGACAAAAAGGGACGACCATAGTGGCCCCCATTATGTCCACCATCCCCCCCGTTGTTGGTTTGTGGGGATTGGCAGGAAACGAGGGTTCAAGGAAAGAAGAACACTGGGAAGCAGGTGTTTTCAAGTTTCACACCCGACACCGACTTCTCCAGTTACGCACGAACAGCACAGCTCAAAGGATGCCCAAATTATCCAAAATGATTAAATCCCACCCAAAAAAAAAAGCGTGGAATGTCCAATCGTTTCCCTGCCATCTTTGGAACTGTCAATTGGAGCACGTGCGGAAGGAAGAAAGTCGACGTATCAATCACTCGCCGCAATTTCTGTGAATGGATTTTCACGAGGTTCACCCGTTCATCTCGCTGGCTCAGCATGCAGGAAAAAATCAAGTGAAGGCGGCGGGCGACAGAGGAATGGAGGTAGGGGGATTAGAGAGATGGAAGGCCAGGGCAAATCCCAAGGGGGGGGGGAGCCGAG